CCGGCGCTGCTGGCCAGTGCTCTCTGCACCTTCGTGCTGCCGCTGCTGCTCTTCCTGGCGGCGATCAAGCTCTGGGACCTGTACTGCGTGAGCAGCCGCGACCGCAGCTGCGCCCTCCCTCTGCCCCCCGGCACCATGGGCTTTCCCTTCTTTGGGGAAACATTGCAGATGGTGCTACAGGTAAGGGAGCTTGGGGCGGGACAGGGCGATTCTCTGCCCCTGAAGCCCGGGCAAGCGCGCAGGGGAGGACGTGACTACCGCTGGGATCGGGGCGAGCCCGAGGCGCGGAGCTCCCCGGCGCCCCCTCACGCCCGCCTCTCCACCGCTTTCCTTTCGCAGCGAGGGAAGTTCCTGCAGATGAAGCGCAGGAAATACGGCTTCATCTACAAGACGCATCTGTTTGGGCGGCCCACTGTGCGGGTGATGGGTGCCGACAACGTGCGGCGCATCTTGCTCGGGGAGCACCGGCTAGTGTCGGTCCACTGGCCCGCGTCGGTGCGCACCATCCTGGGCTCCGGCTGCCTTTCCAACCTGCACGACTCCTCGCACAAGCAGCGCAAGAAGGTGAGGGTCGAGGTGAAGGCTCCTGGACTGGAAAGGGGACCCCAGTCGCCGGAGGGGCTCCTGCAGAGAGATGCTGGGCGAATGCTAGCTGCAGGAGGCGTCGGCTAGGACCCTCTCCAGCCCAGTTTAGCTTTCACAGCCAGGAAGTGCCTCGGGTCTGGCGGAGCTGGGGTGTCTGGAAGGGGTCCCCGGAAGATAAGAGGAATGGGACCGGGTTTTAACATTCTCCCCTCCTTGGGGTTCAGGTAATTATGCAGGCCTTCAGTCGTGAGGCGCTCCAGTGCTACGTGCCGGTGATCACCGAAGAAGTGGGCAACTGCTTGGAGCAGTGGCTGAGCTGCGGCGAGCGGGGCCTCCTGGTCTACCCCCAGGTGAAGCGCCTGATGTTCCGCATCGCCATGCGCATTCTGCTGGGCTGCGAGTCCCGTCTGGCCAGCGGCGGGGACGCCGAGCAGCAGCTCGTGGAGGCCTTCGAGGAAATGACCCGCAATCTCTTCTCATTGCCCATCGACGTGCCCTTCAGCGGGCTGTACCGGGTAACGGCGGCACGCGGGGTG